CAGTATCAAAAATTTATTGTTCACAATGTAAATACATAGAGGTAAGTATCACATACTACTTATACAGTACACGAGTATATTTAAGTGTGGGAGAGCCATGCTTCGGTACGAATGGGCCGGCCCGACCGAAGTGATATCACGGCCGAGCAGCAAACCGATGTGAAACAACGTTTGCGTTGTGTTTCGTCGTGTGAATGAGGTTACCGGAGGCCAACTTTTCTTTCCCAATCTTCCCAATTCCAGAATACCCGACATTCCTCAAATTCCTAATCCCCAAAAGGCCGGTAACGCAACTTGTTACGCCCCTGGTGTCCATGGGCGACGTCGATTGCTTACAATCAGGTGATTCGTCTTCGTCTGCCTGTTTGCCGGCTTATCCCATAAAAAAACTTGTTAAATTCTTCCGCAATAGCACGAATTCTGAAAGCGAACAAGGGCAGCGAAGCGCTGCCTCCTCGCAACCCAGCCATCGCGAAGGACACACCGGGCGTCGGGGATCGCAGGACGATCTCCGGCCACCGTAAGCGCGGGCCTGTGGACGGCGAGCATGGGTGGCTCCCCGTCCGACCAGAAACAGACCCAAGCATACGGCGCGTCGCCATAGAGCCATCAGACCACCACGGATGGGGCCCAATGGGCTAATGCCGATTCGGATCCGCGGAGAACCTAACGTACGGGTTACCGGGGCTCCGGCTCGTAGTACATGAGTTGGAACGGGGGTTTTAATTCAGTAAGAGTCCGACACTCCCTCTCGCCTCACCCAGGCGGGAGAAGTCATTGGATGATTTTCCCCCCTCAAAAAAAAAATCCCTTAAAAATGTACAAAAATAGAAAAAGGAAATTGCTCACCATCATCGCTAAGTAAATTATCGACTTGTTCAATGTATTTTTCTCTGCAAGACTTCGGATCCTCAGGGTTCAGTCCGATGGCATCGTATGTACCTTTGTCGTGGACAATACCGAATTTACCTAGCTCCTTGACACAGTCGTGGGTTATGTCGAATACCTGGAATAGAAAATAAGTAAATAATTACAATCTGAATTATTATGTATGCGTACTTAGTGTTCAAGGATCGACTGCATCATTTAGCTAAATTTCCATGGTACTTGGCGACTGGGCTTCTCCCAGTTGTACAGTCTCTTTTTGTGCCTTTAGGCTTAATTCATTCTGTCACCTGCAGTAATAGGGATGATGACATGGTATGAAAATTAAAAATCTAATTATTAGTCCATCATTTAGATAATTAAAAAAATATTAGACACGTATTTTTTTATTTTGTCGTATAAGAAAACAATACTTAGCTAAAACGAATCAAAGTTCAGGAGTGGGAGGTAGCTACGTCATTTTAGAGTACAAATCGTACTCAAAAGTGACGTCACGCGATATTTCAAATCAATTTATGTATCTTCGAAACTATTTGTTTCTGTGTAGACGCCCTCTACCCCATCTAGGTGACATAGAAATTTAAGTAAAGTAAGTCAAGTCACCTATCACATAGAAATTTAAGTAAAGTAAGTCAAGTCACCTATCAGGGTGAGCTGGAATAGAAAATAATATACAATACCAGATTTGATTTGAATACCTGACCATAATTGATTGCACGATTGGTGCGGTGGCTGGGCAACTGGCTGCCGCGCAAAGTGTCGCGAGTCCCGCAAAATCCAACATCAGCACGAGAAAACAAGCAAATTGTACCGGCTACGCATTAGTACATGCTTCCGCCACCATCACACAATAGCGAGGTGGCGGCGCCACTGGCGCAATGCTTCAATATATCGAAGAAAGTAGAAAGTGGTTGTAGCACTTCAATATTTTTTCGATAGATGGCGTTAGTGACCAGTTTTTCAAATTAAGTATCAATAAAATTGCGAAATCTCTGTATGATGTCAGTAAATATTCATGTCGTGTTTATGAGTGACACTATGTATTTGACTATGTAGGTTTACCATGATTTTGTAGGGTATGCAGTGCTTATTTGCATGTATGGTGTGCACGCCACTGTGTGTATGTGAACTTGTACGTTTGTAAACGTACACACGGCACAGGAGAAAATCATAGTGTGGGGCAATGTAGTTTATTAAATTTAAAAAAAATTACCTTGTACTTTATATGTGGGAACTCGGCCTGTGACACCTTCTCAGCGAGGACAATGGCCTCCTGACAGTAATCAACTCCTGTTAGGTTCGTGAACCCTTCTCTCGCCAGCTCTGTCAGTGTGTAGCCATTGCCGCAACCTAGAATTTAATTTTGCACTGTTAAATTGTTGTGTGACTATAACGCATATATTATTGAATTTGATTTGTAATATGTACTTAGATTTTTTATTTAGTCTGCCTCGTTGGCCGAGTGGTCGCAAGTGCGACTGCCGGGCAAGAAGGGATTCGATTCCCGGGTTGGGCAAAGTATCACTGGGTTTTTTAAAAATTCTCAGTAGTATTTGCCCGGTATATGGCAATCCATATACCGGGCACAATTCCAGACTCAGCCAGTGAGCCTATTGAGGCTCGACCCCTATTACATGGGACTCATAACATAAATAGTGAAAAGTGGGTGTTACATTGTACAGTGGCATATGAACACATCTGTCTTCTCCTTCGGGGATAAAAGGCGTGACGTTGTAATTCTAGTTTTACTATCTTTGCCAAGGGCTTTACCTGTGTTCTCGTACCCGGTATAGTAGTAATAAAATTTACTACTATACCGGGAACCTAATTTTTTAATAACCCAGTAACACTTTGTAATACTAAAGTTTCTACTTTTATTCAGGCCGTCATTTTTTTTTTTAATGGCTCAAGCCCGTCACAACGTCCCAAAACCGCTGCAACTCTTGTACACCAGGATCTACAGTAGATACAACCATGAAAACACCAGAACACTGAAGTCCAACATCCCAGGGACATGAGTAACTGTCTTGGTTCCCGCAACGAAGTGAATCAGAAGATATTATAAGAGGATAAGAAGAAAAAACTATAGTTTCCACTTCCCTCGGTGAATTACAGCAGGAGACAGAATAAATTAAGCCTAAAGGCACAAAGAAGAGACTGTACAACTGGGTGAAGGCCAGTCGCCAAGTACCATGGAAATTTAGCTAAAAAAACTATGTGGGTCCTATGTGTGAGCTGTTATAATTGCTTCCAATAATAGGCCGTCATTTTACCAATTATACATATATCTCGCATGTTATTACCCCAAATATGCATTAAACTCACCTAAATCAATAACGGGTGTATCCTTCTCAACCCCGCAGTTACAGATCCAGTCGATCACTCTGTCTGCGCTGTCCTCACCAAACCACACCTCCCCGCTGTCACCACTTTCCTCAAAGTTCTCGATTTCTCTTATATAGGACCTCTGCCAGTACTCCTGGGTTCCTAGCTCCGATGGGTCGAGTTCTGAGTCATCCATAGTCCTGAAAAAGCGTGATGAAGGTAATATTACTAATAATATAAACTAACTGTTGCCCACAGCATTGTCCACATACAATATAAGTTTTTTTAGTTTTACATTAGTTTTTTGGTTTCAATTTTCAAAAATAAAAATAGCCCATATTACTCCTTAGTACAACAGCTACCTGCCAGCAAAAGTCCCGTCGAAATCGGTCCAGCCATTTTAGAGATAAGCTAGTATGAACAGACAGACAGACAAAAAATTTTTTAGATGTGTTTTTGGTATAGGTTGCGTATGTATGTTCATATACATGTAGTAAAAAGCGGTTATTTCCATAATACAAACAGACAACACTCCAATTTAATTTATCTGTATATATGCGAAAGTTTATGAGCCTGGTTTTGTATGTTTGTTACTCAAATATGTCAAAAGTGCTGAAGGGATATGCCTTGTAGAACATACTTTTTTAAAAAGAGTAACGAATGGAGTTTCTTGCTCGTTCTTCTCCATTCGAATCTACATTTTGGTATGAGCACCTAGCTTCACCTAGCTTTACTGACGAACTGACTGACAGACTATTATTTATTTTGTATTTGTTGACGTTTCAAAAGTACCTTCTTAATTGAAATAAATGCTTTGACTTTGGGATCGCGATGAAATTTCGAACAGTGGTAGATTATGGCCTGGAATAACACATAGGCTACTTTTTATCACACGGGAACACGGGCGAGGCCGCTCGCAGAGACTAAAAGCAGGAAACATTTGTTTTTGTAAGTTTGTAATGAATTCATTAAAAACTACTGGGCCAGTACTATTTAGTATTATCACCTGGGTTAATGCGGTCAACCATACATAAAAGAAGTCTAATATACACTGATAACAGATTATTAATGGAGTTCTAAAAGAAAAATTGTTGTTCTCGTTATAGGTTAGGTTGATACCAACAAATATTTGTAAATCCTAAAATATGAGAAGTATAGCGCAGGTATCTGTTTTAAAATTATTTTTTAAGTCAAATAATGCATATTAAATACTAGTTTTGTCACTTACTGAATTAAAAAATAAAGAAACACAAGTACACAGAAATAATAATGTCGTGTTTATTTTGACTTTGACAGCTGTGTTTTATTGTTGCGAAGTGATGCGCTGCTTCAAATTTTAGTCGATTTGGTTTAGTAGTCGATTATAGCGACATATCCATCAACAGCCTATAAATGCCCACTGCTGAGCAAAGCCTCTTCTCACACGGAGAAGGTTAGAGCGTTAATCACCACGCTTGCTCAATGCTGGTTGGCGATTTCAAACTTATAATTAGAAATTATAAGTCCAGGTTTCCTCACGATGTTTTTCCTTCACCGTTTGTCAGTAGTGTCTAAATAATCTTAGAAAGTACATATAACTCGGAAAAAGTCACATTGGTACTTGCCGTTGGTAGGTTTCGAACCCGCACCCTCATGCATGAGAAGTGGGCGTCTTAAACCTCCGGGCCACCACGACATTCGACATATACCGATGCTTTAACCTTTTTTAAAACAGATTTGGAACGTTAACTTCTCAGAAAATTATAATTTAAACTATAGTTAGGTTGTATAATAAAAAACAAATTCAACAAAACACAGCATTCCCTTTATTACATACTATTCCCGCTAAACAAATTAATATAATAATTAAATATAACACATGAAATCATATTTACAAAACAAATTAAAATTTAAAACTATGGACAAGGAAAACGTTGAAAGAACTTATACTACTACAATTTTATCATAAAGATAGGCGCTTCCTAAGAATCGTCTAAATGGAATGACACGTTCTAGATTAGTATCTAAATGGCAACATTTGGATATTGCACCTTAACAACCAGCAATAAGGTCAGTTTTTGTGTTTCTTCGTTTCCCGCCATAACATGTTAATGACATTGTCAAGTCATGACATATCGAATAAAAAATTAGGTTTTGTAGGTCCAGTATTTAGAAACTAATACTAAATAAATTATATTATTATGAATTTACGTGGTAAATCGTCACTAGCTGGAATTAAATTGTACTAAAGTTTGGAAGGGCACCATCAAAGCCTTGAAGCGACATAGTCAGGCTGAAAAGGTAAGAAAAAAAATTGTTATGTTTTGATGTTACATCATTTATATAAAATAATAGTAATATTCATGGATTGTATAATTAAAATAGGTAATACTTACAGACACAAACCAGTATGAATCCTTTCTGAAAATAAGTCGCGAAATGAAACCCATTTCTGAGGCAGGCGCTATGGCGTGTAAGTGCAGATGTCTCACACTGCGGAAGGGCGGCCAGTGATATCCTAATCGAGCATCATCCAATGATAGATTATTTTTAGACAATTGTTCATGGGCTACCATCAATATTTTATTTACTGAAAAGAAAAAAAAAAAACATTTAGTCGATTATTGTTTTAAGAATTGTGATTAATTCGAACGCAGTTTTTTGTATTATTATTTGTGAAATATTTTCGCTGCTGAACCGTACCCTATTTGAGTGTTGCTATCTTTTTATTATATTTCCGGGAATAATGGGTAAAACTACGTCAAATATTGTTCAAATGACGTTCAGAAAAAATATTTACGGAATGATATTGATATTATTTAATCATTTCAAGATTATCATCTTACTGATGTGTTCTGACTAAAAAAAAAACAAGTTCACATAAATCGCTAAACTCAATGACTTATCAAAAGATTTCCAAATAGAAACAAACAAAATTAAATGCGGCTGTTCAGTACAGAAAACAACCAAATTATTGTCACAACAACTGGGGAAATTTTAGTTCATTACGTTGTCACCCCATCTACTACCGACGATTTGATAACAACAGTATTAACTCGCTAGTTAATTGAAATCTAATTAATTGCTAATTAAAACGACTTACCCAACTCCTTATCAGCTGGTGTTAAGCATTTCACGTCCTCAATATGCCGTTTAGGTATAATTAAAAGGTGTAGCTTGCTCGCAGGTTTAATGTCCGGAAAAACACAAATATCGTCGTCTTCATACAATATTTCCGTATTTTCAAATTTATTAACGATATTACAGAATATGCAGTTAGATCTTTCAGGGATGGGCGAAGCCATTTTTGAATAATTTTCACTTGAAAACTGTGTTTTCTTTCCGACTACCAGATGTTGGGTGTTGGTTAAACTGTCATCTGTCAAATTGACAATTCGACGTTTGTCGCTATTTGCGTTTCGTGCGCAAAGTTAAATTTTTCACGTTGTTGAGAAAATGTGGATGAATTTTTGAATGATACTCTCTGTAAACAGTTATTTTTAATTATTTTTTTTGTCCTTTTGAGCATAGAGTACATAATATCAAATAAATATTCTAAGCTTATCTTATTACTTTTTAAGTTTTAGATTGGGCAGATTTTATAGTTGGTAACATTTCTGACTGATTGACTGTAATACAAACACTGGACAAAGAAAAAAAAAAAGGAAACACTGATTTTAATGGCGGGATTTTCGTTTTGTTGCTGAAAACTTTGAACAAAAGTTGCATCACTGCTGAAAATTGACTGACAACGAAAAACCAAGTAAGCATGGAGTCTCTTACGCATTCTTTTCCATAGTAATCTATAGTAAGGCCTTTCATTATTAAAAAAAAATACACTAAGTGTAACATCACGTTTTTTTTAAATCCGAAGATGGGGTTATTAGAGATCCATAATTATTACCCATCTATTGTTTTGAATGGTAGGCACGTATAGGGCGGTAAACGAGCAGACGGATCTAGATGGTAAGCAATGGGCATTTATTTATTTTGCACTTTATTTTACACCATAAAAACAAACAAAGAAAAATAAACCTAAAAAGAATGTGTACAATGGGCGGCCTTATCGCAGAATACGATTTATTACAGACAATCTTTGGATGGAGCCAGTAATAAGGAGTTAGAAAAAAGGGGGTCGTCTAGTGTACAATAATAATTAAACCAATACATACATTATAATACTACCTATACCTACATATCATCGCTCATAGAAACTCGCAACACAAGATAAATTACAAGTGCGTTGTCAGTCTGACTGCACGGTTGGGGCGGTGGCTGGGCAACCGGCTGCCGTGCAACGTGTCGCGAGTTCGATTCCCGCACGGAACAACACTTTGTGTGATCCACAAATTGTTGTTTCGGGTCTGGATGTCATTGTGTTTGTGAACTTGTATGTTTGTAAACGCACCCACGACACAGGAGAAAATCCTAATGTGGGGCAACGTTTTTTAAAAAAGAAAAAAAAGTCTGTTGTGGATTCGGACATCCGGCAATCTCACTAACACATCTGCTCATAACGAAAGCATTGTTTCACACCGTCTGTGAAGCCATCTTTATGTAACACGACGATAACATAGTCCTGGCAGGGCGACCCAGCGGGTAAGGGGCCATCCATAAATTACGTCACTTAAGAGGGGTGGAGGGGGTCGACGAAGTGTGACATTGTGTGACAAGGGGGAGGGATCCAAAACTTTGTGATATAACATTTCAAAAACTATTAAAATCTGTGTTTAAATAATGTTTTTTTTTATTTTGTTAAGTACCTAATTGTTGGATTTGCCATTTTAACTCGTCGAGAACCGTCATTACAGACACAATTATAGAACAATAGGTTGCAGTCACCGGTGACCGCTTGGTGTTTGACAGTTTAAAGTAATTTAAGTGGAATTAAAAAAACAATAGTTTCCATACTATAATTCTGCAAAATGTGACGTCACACTAGAGGGGGGGACTCACAAATGTGACTAGCTGTAACAATGACGGGGGAGGGGCAATAATGTCATGATATTCGTGCGACGAAATATATGGATGACCCCTAACTAGGGTTGCCACTTACCACCCGTACTTTATAATAAAGTATTGTACGTTATTTAAGGTAATTGTACTCTATACTTTATAAGATTAATAAAGTACATACCTATGTACACGAAAATACTTTATTTTTGCAAACTTCATTTCTATTAAAATCGTAAGTATTTTTTGGTAAACTTATCGAATATTATTATATCGATATTTATCGATATCGTCGTATTAATCGTCAACGTACTTTATATACCAAAAAGAAGGTGGAAACCCTACCCCTAACTGTGGTTCCAGCTCGAAGTACCAGAGTCTGACAGTCCATCTTGCCTCACCCAAAGCGGGAGAAGTCATTGGATGATTCTCCCCCTCAAAAAACAAAAAAGGCAGTTACTACGTAGATAGTAATGACCGAATGACGTTTATTATTAAAGTAGGTAAATACATTATTTAAATAAGTTTTAAGTAGGTAAATTTCAATGTAACTGGCATTATACGTCACAATAAGCTGATGTAAAGCTATTGTTACGAAACACATGTCTTTAATTAAATACAAGGAATTGATTCCGTGGTCTAGACAGAGTCAATATTTTTGTTGAATATTTAATATCGACCTACATGTAAAGAAAGTGCGACGGCAGAGCAGGAGACATTAATTGTCTTCACAGCCCACAATTTTTTTTTCGAGTTAGGCTAGAGGGAGTGTCAGACTATTACTGACTAAAAATCACCCCGTTCCTACTCCTGCACTTCGAGCCGGATCCCCGGCAACCCGTTAGGTTTTTCGTGGCTGCGTATCGAGCATCAGCCCTACTGGGCCCCATCTGTGGTGGCCTGATGTCTCTTTGAGGCGCGCTGGAAACGCGACGCGCCGTACGCATGCTACAGGCTCATATTCCGCGACAGTCGCCGTGAGCCTCTAAAAAGTTCAAAATATATTTTTTTAATTACGTTGCCCCACGCTAGGATTTTCTCCTCTGTCATGAGTGCGTTTACAAACACACAAGTTCACATACACACACCCAGACCAGACCTGACCCAGAACAACAATCTGCGGATCACACAAAGAGTTGTTCCGTGCGGGAATCGAACACCGCACCAACCGTGAGGCCAAAAGCCAGAACATAATAATTAATTTAGTATGTCTCACGGTAGTTATAATACAAATGTAAGAAAGGTCTGGAATATTATGAATAGGGTAGTTTCTTAAATTTTATTTTAATGTCCGTCTGGTACATTAGTTTAAAACTTTAGACACGTATTTTTTCTTTTCTCACAAAATTAAATACTTTCGACGATATATTAACTCGTCGAGTACCGGTTTTGTAGACACAATTATAGAAAAATAGGTTGCGGTCACCGGTGACCGCTTGGTGTTTGACAGTTTAATTTCAAATATCGTGTGACGTCACAGCGTGCCACATTATGTAGCACGATATGACGTAACAACCAACTCCTAAACTTAGCGCCATTTTATCTAGAAGTATTGCAACTTAATACGAGAAAATAAAAGAATACGTGTCTAATATTTTTTCATTATCCAACTGACGGACTAATTAGATCTTTAATTTTGATACCTCCAGGGTATAACCATCCAATTAGCCTGTGCCAAGCAGGGGCGGGTCGCTAGTTCAACACAATTCTCAATAACTTAGAACAATACGAAAACTTACCAAAAAACATGTCACATTGTTTAAATTCAATTAATTTATTAATTGACACAGGTTTATCATACGTTCAACCTTATATAATAAATGAATATATGATTCTTTGTTCTTGTTTTTAATTATTTTAAAATAATTTGTTCATAATACCTACTTACAAGACATAGACTGTTTTTATAATAACTATCGTGGGAACATACTAAATTATTTAAAAATCGCGGGTTACTCCCGTGACTGAGAATAGCTCTACTAGTTAAGAACCACAGAGGGGTTTTTCCTCATGACTTCATGAGCATCGTGCGCGATCGCGGCTAGGTTACGGCGATGTCGCGCAGCCTTCTAAACTAAAACTAAACTAAACTATACTCCGTCTGTTTAGGTAGTTAACTATTTGTAAACAAACCATAAAAAGAGTTCTTTATAGTTGACATTTCCATGATTCAAAATACTTCGTAAGAAAATAAAATTGTTTCCATTTTTACGACAGTTTTCTCTATTAAATGTTATGTTTCTGTTCCTTTTCACTTATTTCTTAATAAATATTATATATATATCTGCTTGAACATAATAATTTAATAACATTTATTAAATAATATAATATTTCATTACAATAGACACCATAAAGAGCCTAAAATCCCAGGTATCTAAAACCTTTCTTTATGAACGAAGCATTAGATAATGTTGTCAAATTAAAGAGTACAATTAAGATGTAGCGCGACAATGAAAGTAGCGTGTATTACGTTTAGTCGGTTAACAGGCGCCATTGACATCTCTCTCGTCGTTTGCGCTCGCGTTCCTATTTTGTTGAATTTATCTTGTTTCTTTGTTTTGTTTTTGTTATTAAGTTATTTAAGTTTAGGTTATTCATCGTTTATAATTAATGTGTTCAAATATATTGAAGAAACTTGGCCCAAAGACACATATCCGTACAAGAAAGAAATCCGTACATCAGATTCAGAATAGTTTCTATTTAAACATGATAATGAAATAGACCCATAGGCTAGGCAAGCACAAGCACAAATGCCTAAATCGTACAAGAGTACGATTTAGGCATTTGTGCTTGTATGTGTGTGTGACAAATGATCGATTTTAAAGTGAATTTAGTTTAAATTAAAACACGAGAAATATTTGAAATAATAGAAGGTTAAGTATCTCTGTGTCACGTGGTTTTGTTTGTTTACCTTTAGTTAATTACCTAAACAGATGGACTATAGTAGATGTTTTCTCAGTATTTTCACGTGAGTAACCCGCGATTTTTATAGTTATTACATAGACTTATTTATTGACATATTTATTTATTTTTTAAAAACATTGCCCCACATTAGGATTTTCTCCTATATCGTGGGTGCGTTTACAAACATACAAGTTCACATACACACGACACCCAGACTCGGAACAACAATCTGTGGATCACACTAAAAGTTGTTCCGTGCGGGAATCGAACCCGCGACACGTTGCTCGGAAGCCAGTTGCCCAACCACTGCGCCAACCGTGCAGTCTCGGATAAAAAACGTATGTAGTTAAAAGACGCCAACAAATAATCCTGCAAAGGAATTGTACAAACAAAAAGATGAATAGTAAACCACCGCCGTTTGATGATCGATATTTGCACGCAATTTGTTTCATGCCGGTTTCCTGCTCGGCCGTGGTATGGAATGGGTCGACTCCGGTTGAGTCGACCCATTCGTGCCAAAGCATGGTTCTGTTACGTAGAAAAACAGTCATTATCACCATTATCAGCCCGGTTTCGTCCACAGCTAGATATAGGGCTCTCCATAAGCTCACCACTCAATTAATCTTCAGTTCTCGTAAATATAATAAATCTTCCGTCTAACTAGACTAGTCCACTACGCAGGAGATATTATAGGGCATAAGTGTGTGAACACAGGTGCACTTTTAGGGAACAGAGAGTATAGTTCCCTAATATCGGAAAAGGAGGATCCTCCGACCAGGCGAGGTGATCGTGCCTGGCGGGCTTTCTGCCCAACAGTTGTTTGTTGGGATTTTCTATCTGAGTTAGTTTGATTGTATATAATTAACCTATGCATTTCTAACGGAATGTACCCAGAAAAACTTAAAACGTCTATTGTCATTCCACTACACAAAAAAGAAGATAGACGGAAAATGGGAAATTATAGGCCCATAGCGTTAATCCCCATTTTCTCAAAAATATTTGAAAAAATTATATATAGTCGCCTCTATAGTTATTTAGAAAAATTTAATATTCTGGTAGACGAACAGAAAGGCTTTCGTAAAGGGAAATCAATAAATATGGCCCTTTATGATCTACTGAAAACAATTTTGTTAGCCATGGACAAAAAAATACCAACATGTGCCATCTTTATGGACATGAGTAAAGCATTTGACCGAGTCGATCACAACATACTTTTACAAAAATTAAGCAAGTATGGCATAAGAGGCAAAGCGTTAGACCTCATTTTTTCATATCTGCACAATAGAAAACAAATAGTAGAAATAACACAAATATGTCAGAAAACACGAACCGAGATTAAGCATAAATCGAACACAAAAACTATAAAATTTGGAGTCCCACAAGGAAGTGTTCTCGGGCCTCTACTGTTTCTAATATAAATCAATGATCTGCCTAACCATATAAATCAACCAATGGTCTTGTTTGCAGATGATAGTACGGTCATAATAAGGGGTGAAAAAGAGACTGATTATGAACATGTAGTTAACCAAACATTAAATATGATTATACAATGGTTAAACGATAATAATCTAAAAATAAATATGGAAAAAACTAAAATCATTCACTTTCACCAAAAAAATAAACCATTAAATGTAAACGTTGGTTACCAAGGTAACACTGTACGTCCCGTAACAGATGCAAAGTTTCTGGGAATAACAATAGACGATAAACTGTCATGGAAACCACATATAGAAAATATATGCAAAAGAATTAATAAATCCTCATTTGCTCTATACAAACTGACAAAAATTGTCAATAAAGAAGCTGTATTAGCTGCATATCATGGACTTGTTGCACCTATCCTTAGATTTGGTATTATATCTTGGGGTAACTCAGTAGATAAGGAATATGTATTTAAATCCCAAAAGAAATGCATTAGAGCTATGTGTAATGTAGACAGTACTACTAGTTGTCAACCCTACTTTAAATCATTAAAAATCCTGACATTTCCCTCGCTATACATTTATGAACTTAATATTTTTGTGAAATCAAATCCTAATTATTTTGAGACTGCTTTTAAAAGCTATTATAGACAATTGCGAGATAAAAAAAGACTAGAAGTTGTTATACCTTATGGGAAAACAGCACTCATTAATAAAAGTGCTGCCCGATTCTGTCAAAACTTTGCCTCTTTACCAATTCAAGCGGAAACTACACAAACTCCTAATAACTAAATGTTATTATAGTGTCAAGGAGTACCTACAGGATAAAGATATAGATAGTTTATTTTGCCAACTAGTAGTGTGACATACAGTAGTAAATTTTATGTACCAAATTTTTATGTTATTATTAATTTATATAATTTTTATGTTATTATTAATCTACCATTGTTATATGATTTAATTTATTGACCATGACATGAACAATTATAACACACTTGACATTCTGTACGTTTTAATCCTTTGACATTTCTATAATTTTGTAATATTATTGTAAGCATATAATGTAATTAGAAAAATTGATTGCCTAAAGACTGTATAAATATTTGCACATCTATTTAGGTAATGATACAGTGCACTATACAATCCATATGTAACATCTTATATACCTGTATTATGCAAATAAATGATTTGATTGATTGATTGATTGATTGTAAACTTCGCATGTGCGATGTAGGATTGTATGACGTCATGCGTTGACATGTGACCTGTGTCGCCACACACTCTCTGTTCCTTCACTCTCTGAACGCGATAGGACGGCAGACCGACACGACCGGAGAGAGATCAGGCGCAGGACGTAAGCACCGAGACACAGCTTTCAGTTCCCGTATCCAACCACTGGCAGAATCACACCGGATACTGCCGCCTACACAAAGATCGATGTGAAATGTTCATAAACAAGCCACAAAGGTGCGAGTACATCTGTCCGCAGCAAATAGCAGTTTGTGTGCTTGTATAGTTGTGTCATCACTCAGAACTGTCAGTAAATGGAGTGAGAGAGAGAGAGAGAGAGGGCGGGAGTGGGACGGACGTAGCGGGTACATACACACGGACAAATACACTTATGGCTTGTTTTGTTTGGAAATATTTCACATTGATCGAAAGGACGATCTACTTTGTGTTGCTAGACGTAACCACGCCTTACTTCGAGAACATACCTTAATGGTTACGGTCTCATCATCATCACCATGAAATCAGCCATATACTGTCCGCTGCCTCCCATAGTCCTCGCCCGTAGACTACACATTGCGAGATTGGAAACGACCTGCATACAGTAGCTATCCTTTTTGTTTTTTATACGTAGGTATTTTTTTTAAGGGGGGAAGATCATCGAATTACTTCTCCCGCCTGGGTGAAGCTGAAGGGAATGTCAGACTCTAACTGACTAAAAACCACCCCGTTCCTACTTCTGCACTTGGAGCCGGAGCTACGGTAACCTTTTACGGTCTCCGTGGCTCTGTATCGGCATCAGCGCTGTTGGGCCCCATCTGTGGTGGTCTGATGGTGCTTTGAGGAGCGCGTGAAAAATGTGGAAAGCTTCACGATTATTCTTGTCATCCTTGCGCGTAGGCCATGTTTGTCTTTTCTGTATCGTTCCAATTTTGGTTTATGTACTGCCGAAGCAAGTATATACGTAGTTATTGAGTCTCGCCTGGTGGTGTCTACGAACTTTGTTAGGTCGTCTGTCCACCTTGTAGGTAGATATCCTACCTGCATTAAATTTGTCGATGGCTTCTACGAGAAATTATTCTATGTCACTGTGGAATGAACCTCCTCGCGTCCCAGCCGTCGTGAGACCTGAGTGCATTCCGTGCGCGCCTCAAAGAGCTATCAGACCACCACGGATGGGGCCCAATAGGCCTAATGCGGATATGGAGCCGCGGAGGACTTAACGGGTTGCCGGGATCCCGGCTCGAAGCGCAGGAGTAGGAACGGGGTGGTTTATAGTCAGTAAGTGTCTGACACTCTCGCCTCACCGAAGACAGCAGAAGTCATTGTATGAATTTCCACCCTCAAATAACAAACTTGCTTCACTAATCAACGAACGAACTAAAACTTGCACTGAATAATATACATATACCTACTAACAATATCTAATTTTTCACTCATGTCCGCTTTTCAAAATTGTAGTGTATGCCTGAACAACTGCTTATTAGAAAATGTGAGTAATTTCTGTGATGACAAATGGTTCTAATGATATTGGAAGGTACTTGTGTAATATAAATAAGTTAGCTATGTATTTGTGTGTTAAAATTAAACTAACACTTTGAAAGTACTTTGAAAAACAACATCTTGTTAGGGTACTGTTTTTATAAGTTCTTAAAGGGATTATAAAATTTGGAACTAAGATACAGTTTGGCAAAAAAGAGTTTGGCATAATTGAGGTCGCTAGTATGTTTTTGATTTTTTTTTCATTGATGGGTCGACGTTTGACCACTATCTCGCCTGGTGGTAACCGATGATGCGGTCTACGATAGAGCACGTCGTCCCATAAGTAACCTATTCACTCGGATCTTGTAAACACCCCTACAGGAAATACAGGCTCTGGCAAAGAACTTCACTCCTTAACCGTGCGCATTAGGAAGCTTGATGCGAAGCGCTTCGTGCGTATGGATGGGACATCTACCATGAATCGGTGACGCTTCGCCGATTGTCTTGTGGTACGATGATGAAAAGGACTAGGGGGAATCAAGTTGTGCAATTCCCCCGCACGCTCACCGAAATGTATCCCGTAGAGAACGATTATGCGAGGAGGATATATGTGTGGGTTAAGTATGGAAGAGGTTGCTTCTTCTATGCCGTCTGCATCGCCACCACAAGATGCTGAACATAGGATTCTCACAATGCCTTCTAGATCTAGCCGTGCTCCGTCTACAACCAGGATTGGTCCCTCATGATCCAGCTTGATAAAGAAGGTCTTTTTCCTCCTATTAGTCTTTCCCTCAAGTTTCCTCTATTAGTCTTTCCCTCAAATTCCCTCGTCCAGCATGCCTGGGAGGTACATTTTTTTTAAGGGGGGAAAATCATCGAATGACTTCTCCCGTCTGGGTGAGGCGCGAGGGAGTGTCAGACTCTTACCGACTAAAAACCACCCCGTTCCTTTTCCTGCACTTCGAGCCGGAGCCCCGGTTATCCGTTAGGTTCTCCGCGACAGGGAGGTACATTAGGCTCAGTTGCCTGAGTAATTTGCGATTGTGGACAAATAAACAACATTTTAAACAATTGTACGAAACCTCAAATTTTGAAAACGATTCACGCTTGCCAAAACCCGAATAACTAAATACAATAACAAAGCAGTACACCAAAATCTTAAGCTTAACAATAATTAACAAAAGAAATTAAACAATTGAATACACAATTAGTAATTTAACAATTCACGTTGGATTCAAATAAAATACGTTATTTGCCCGCCATGTTTTATTTGCACAGACTGTTTAGAAACAAATAATTTTGACAGTTCTATGTGGTGTTATAAAATTGATTGCGTACGTTTACGGTGAAATCATTTCAAAATGTGGCGTGGAGTGGTGATCATCTATTTAGTGGTGAGTTAAAAAATAATTTAAAGTGAAAAAAAAAGAATTGCAATTGCAATAGTTTTGTTAAAACTAAAACTCATTCACGAACGCAAGCGTTACTCAAAGTTGTATCGAGGTTTTAGTTAGATGTAAAACAGACTTTTTTTAAAAGAGTAACGAATGGAGCTCTTGCTCGTTCTTCTCCACTCGAATCGACATTTTGGAACGAGCGCCTAGCTTCACTGACGGACAGACTGACAGACTATTATATATTTCATATTTGTTGACGTTTCAAAAGTACCAAATTATGGTTTAATTGAAATAAATGCTTTTGAGTTTGAGTTTTGAGCTTGAGATTGGCGGTGGTCGAGTAAAAGTCTTAATTGAATTTTTCGGTCTCCGAAATTTACAGTAGTAATAAATAGGTTTGGAATTTATCGTGCACTTTTGTGGCTGACCTTTCACAGTTTAGACTCATAATTTTTTCAGACTCATCACAGTCATGCCCCATAGACAATAAATGTGGTTTATCAAAATGTATATATCCATTGACTGCCTCATTGTCCGAGTGGGTTGGTTTATTACTGGGTTTTTCAAAAATTCCCAGTAGTAGCACGGAGTCTGGAATTGTCCCCGGTATATGGCAATAGGCTCACCCCCTATTACATGGGACTCATAACATAAATAGTGAAAAGTGGGCGTTACATTGTACAGTGGCATAATGTACACCTCTGCCTACCCCTTCGGGGATAAAAGGCGTGATGTTATGTTATGTATGTTATATCCATTCTATACATATTATAAAACTGTAGAATCGTAAATTGTGTACACAAAAAAAAAATATAAAAAAAAATAATCAGTAGGATGTGTTACTAGATAGACACCAAACCCAAAAAAGTGATTAAATACATTTTTGACTGTCTGTCTGTCTGTATGTATGTTTACGCACCATGCAGAAACTACTGGTCCGATTACGATGAAACTTGGTATGATTGTGCTTTAATATCTTAGGCATCACACTCAGTACTTTTTATCGCAAAAAAGTATTCACACAAAAAAACAAATTTAATTGTGCGGCTCCACCTCTAAACACAGTCACTGTACCAAATGCAAATATAAGTTTGTTAGGTTTTGCGCAGTCGACTCTATGCTGTAACTGTAGGGCCGATTCAAAATTCAAAATTCAAAAAGGTTTTGCGCAGTCAACTCTATGCTGTAACTGTAGGGCCGATTCAAAATTCAAATAGGTTTTGCGCAGTCGACTCTATGCTGTAACTGTAGGGACGATGGTTGAATTAGCTTGTTATTTAATAAAAAAGGTTTGTGATTGTACTTTTCTAACACAGCTATTCTTATTTCACAGGCTTTCGTAGCCATCGATGGTTTGCCAAGTAAGTACTGAGATATTTAATAATACTAGCTACTTCCGCACGGTTTCACACGCTCTGCTCAGCTCCTATTGGTCGTAACGTAATGTTTTATAGCCTATAGACTTCCTCGATAAATGCGCTATCCAACACAAAAAGAATTATTCAAATCAGACTTGTAGTTACGGATATTAGCGCGTTCGAACAAACAAACAAACTCTTTCGCTTTATATAATAGTATACGATATACGATTAGGGGTCATCCACAAATTACGTCACACGAATTTCATGATTTTTTGCCCCTACCTATCATCCCTAGTGTGATGTCACATTTTGCAAGAATTAAGTACATATTTTATGTATAAAAAATTAATTAATGAATACTTTAAAAAAATATTAATATCAAATCAAAATAAAAACCATTATTACAATTACATTTCGTGTTTTGAAATGTGACATCACAAAGTTTAGGATCCCTCAATCACCCCTTGTCACACAATGTCACACTTCGTTGACCCCCTACCCTACCTCTTAACGTGGGACGTAATTTATGGATGGCCCGTTATTTCTCTATCCTTTTTCTTTAACTTGACGGTGAAGGAAGACATAGAGAGGGAATAACCCCTCTGTGGTTCGAAACTAGTAGAGCTTTTCTCAGTATATTCACGTGAGTAACCCGCGATTGAAGTTAACTAAGAAATGGAAATTTTACTCTCACTAAGATACAGTAAATTATGTGGACTGAGCTCAAATCATAATTTTTAACTTTCGAACATATTCGGAAAAACAAAAGGTATGTTCTGAATATAATGTAATTATGTAATTTTCATAATATTTCATCTTTCAGACCATGAAATCGACAACGCTCGCTACGACAGCTCGTTCCAAGCGAACGGGAGACGACATCAGAAGGCCAGTGCTTATGATGAAGAGAGTACCAGCAGTCTGGATGTAGACCAAGGCAGGGTGGTACATACCCAGGCTGGGTCTCAACGGGAGAGGAACAGCGAGGGGGAGAGCGCTTTTGATGTGAATCAGAATATTAAAGAAGGTAAGTTGTGATTTATTTCTTTAACTCTTAAAAGATCATATTTCAATAACCCCGTTTTTCCCTGGCAATGCAAGGAATGCGCAATGGTCTGGTTATTACGATAACCATTTAATGACTGAAAATACCGCACTCTCATGCATGACAAGCGGGCGTCTTAACCCCAGGGCCACCAGAAAGAAAGAAAGAAAGAAAAAACATTTATTCAGCACCAGGCACGAAGCAGCATAAATCATCAATACATAGTATAAAACAAAGTCGCTTTCGCTGTATGTCCGTATGTATGCTTAGATCTTTAAAACTACGCAACGGATTTTGATGCGGTTTTTTTTAATAGATAGAGTGATTCTTAAGGAAGGTTTGTATGTATAATACATGCTTATTGCACCCGTGCGAAGCCGGGGCGGGTCGCTAGTAAAATATAAAATAGGGAATAAAGGTGCGACAGTGGAAGTAATAAAAACATTGAGTTGAAAAATTAAAACAGAAGAATTAGAAGAGAGACGCTGACAACATGCCTATGCTAAAAGGGTCAACCACTCAGTGTAAGCCAGACATACAAGTTACCCAGCATTGAATTTCAGTGGGCACCCATGCATTTACCACGACATATACCTAAAACTTATTAACTAACAAAAACCTATAAGTCGTCCTCCCCTTTTGAATCAATTTATTATTGACAACTATGGAATTTGCCTGCCATTAGATACATAGGATTTCCTTCAAAACTTAGAAATTTTGATCATTCCAGAAATTTCCAACGACGGTGGAGTGCTAAAGCATACCAAATCTATCTCGGAGTCTCATGATGAGAGCCAGAGCTCTCAGGACTCAAGCAGACAGGCCAGTTACTTTGCCCAGGCTACCAGCAACGTTGGGGATGGTCATCAAGGTACTTACAAATAATTAAATATCCGGTATAGACAAAGATAATTATCACTGCATCTATCACATAACATAACATCACGCCTTTTATACCTGAAGGGGTAGGCAGAGGTGCACACAGAAGTGACACCCAGTTTTCACTATTTATGCTATGAGTCCCATGTAATAGGGGGTGAGCCTTTTGCCATATACCGGGCACATTTGCAGACTCCGTGCTACTATTGAGAATAAAAAAAAAACTCAGTAATACTTTTGCCTGACCGGGGAGTTGAGCCCTAGACCTCTTGCCTGGCAGTCGCATTTTCGACCACTAGGCCAATGAAGGAGACCTTTGAATGAATTTAGATTTGTAATGAAACCTTTGTTTTATTTTTCAGGTCCCATAAACCACGGACACGTACACTACAACCCAAGCATTCCTGCCCAACCTGTAGCACCAATAGTCCACCCGTTACCCATCAGACATTCCGGCCTTACCCATCTCCCCAACCACCACCATCACGACGGTAATCTACGAAACGGAAACGAATTCTACCATGACAACCATGCCCATTATGGACATTCCAGTGATGCGAATGGAAACTTCGGTCATAATGGATGGTACGGTAACGGCTACGTGAGTCATAATCCTAATGGATGGTTCAGACGGTACATTCCCCAATCTGGAGTCCATCCTCACCGTCACTTTGGATATCAACCCGTTCCTGGATACCAGGGTATAGGCAACGACCATTTTAATAGATTCCATAACTATGAAATTGGAAACCCTAGTTTGGATGCTAGAAATCAAGTAAAGTATGTTCCAGCTAACGGTCATTATGGAGGCAGTTCTGGTCATTCAAAACCTGGTTTAGATGAAGTACTTAACGCTTTAGGTTATAACCATAAAAAGGATAAACATAATGTTCCTGATAAAATCAACCACGGCATGGCTCCTGATCCAAATGATAATCAAAATGACGGAACCAAAGTAAACTTTGTTAATGGTAACGACGAAACTAATACTGCTAAAGATGTACCCGTAGCTGGAAACATTCCCGAACTTGGAACTCCAGAGCACCCAGTAGGTGATATTGACCACGTTTTAAGTGCTATAGATTACGCACGAGGTCCGAAAAAGCCAGTGAATTATGAAACTGAGACTATACAATACGTACCAGCTATAGTGCCAACGGAGTATATTAATAGGCCAGTAAACTACGATGGTATTGGTATAGAAGTGCCCGATTCTGGAATATTAATTCCAGAGGATTCGGAAGAATATATTCCAAATGTGTATGGAATTTCACCTGTACGTTACATTCCGGTCGCTGAAAATATACCTGAATATGTGATTCCTAAGCAAAGAATACGGTACTATGAAAACGCTGTCCCATACGTCGGTTCTCCAGTTGTCATCCCTGAAGAAACAGCTTTTACAAATGAAAGATTTGTACCAGAACCTACTGGGTTTAATGGATATGTCAAACCTTATAAAGGTGAATTCCATCCAGAACCTACTTTCGTACCAGAGGTTTCATACAGTCCAACATTTGATATTAACTCTAACAAAAAGAAGCCTGACGTCATTGAAAATACTGTGATTGAAAAAGATGGCCGGTCTATTAACGATGACGACATTATCATTGATAGAACATTTATTACCAAGGAAAGCACTGAAAACTCACAAGAAACTAACAAAAGATCTAAACAGAGCACTACCACAATTATAAATAGAACTGGAAAGAAGAACGTGGATGTCACACCTTTAGACGATGATGATAATGATAGTTCTGATGATGTTCTTGTTAAGAAACCTGTTCCCATTACTAAACCTGTTGAAGATAATAAAAATCATGACAAAGAACCTAAAACTCCAATATCCATAGATAAAGTAACTAACAAAATCAAGAAACCACCAGTACCGATTCAGAAAAACATTTATCCACCAAGAAATGTAATTCACAAGAAAATAGATGCAGCTCCAACGGCAATTGACAAATTTTCGGATGCGCCTGAAAAACCTGGTACTGACAAAACTGTTGAAAAATCAGAAAATGATGTTATAAATCAAAATAGTGACTTACCATACGCTGTTGAAACGAAACCTGTAGTTGATGGTACAAAACCGAAAACCACTGATGATACGGATAATCCCACTGATTTGGTAAAACCCACACCAGTAGTCAAAGGAATTCCTGAAAAGAAGAAAACTCATATCATCAGAACTCCTTCAGGAGTAATTCTTCATGCTCATGACATACCCATAGATGAAGACGTAACTCCAAAACCCGCTGTAAAAGATGGCAACAAAGACAAGATAGTTAAAAGAAAACCAATTACAAAGCCATACATCTATACACCGAAAAAAGATAAAGATGTAGACCAAAATGTTCATGGATATAATCCCGCTCAAGAAGAAAGAGACGCAACTACAGCTAAAGTTGAGAATGTAAATCCAACTACTCAAAAACCCATTCCACAAATCGGCAAACCTATTCCAAGAATTCCTAGAATTCCTAAAGTACCAGGTGAGTACATTGATAAAACCAGACAACCGAAAAAACTTGATGATATAAAACCTGTAGAAGATATAAACCAAAAACCTTTACCTAAAGAACCAGTTACTACTATTGCTCCTAAGACTACGACTAAAAAGGAAGATGATACACCTACCATAAAACCAACGCTCAAAACGATTAAAAACTCTGAATCGCAAAACGACAGCCAAGATAACGATGAAGATGATGAATATTACAAAATAATAAAATCATATACCGAAGAAGAAGAAGAAGAAAGTAGTAGTAGTCAAAATAGTAGAACTGAGACTAGAACCAAAAGGATTTTGAGACACAAGAACCGTAAACCTGGTGATTTAAGTGACGATAATGAGACAGTTGAAAATAACGGTAATGATAATGACAGATCAGTTATCCGTGAACAAACTACAAAAAAACCGCGCAAGAAATTTACTTTCAAAGTTGTTGGAGAAAGCAATGATGAATCTGAGGATAGTGATGATGAAGAAGATTATTTAGAAAATAATAAAAACGCTCCATCTACTGAAACCCCAAACAAGAATCAACCGATAAAGCCTGTTATTGAAAACAAGAAAAATAATCAAAAACCAAACGCATTAGATAACAGTACCGATAAAAACATTGACAAGAGTACCGTTACAACTGAGAAGACCATTGGACTGACTACTACCACAAAGAAACCAGATGTTACAGAGAAACCGTCAGTTAAAAACGTTGATAAAGTACAAGATAAAAAGCCTATCAAAGGTATCAATACTCCCAATGAAAAGAAAAGTGAAGACACAACTCCTAAACCTGACTCTAAAGAAATAAAACACGATAATAAACCCTCTATTATTAGAAAGAAACCGAATAAAGATGTAAAACCGAAAAAAGATGTAGATTCAGATGACGATGAAGAATTCGTGTCTATAACTACAGAAGATTCTGAAGATTCAATATTAAATAACAAACAACATAGAACTACAACTGAAACTGAAGAAATTATAAGGAATGGTCAGAAAAAACCAGTAAAGGAACCAAAAACATCCATACCAGAATCTAACGAAATTAGTGATGAGGAAACACCAGATAGTAAAACTGCTGAGAAACCAAGCTCTAACAACAAAGACGGTAGTAACAAACCAGTTACTGAAAAATCCGCCAACGGAAACAAACCAAACTCAGGAAACAAAGACGAATTACCAGAAAACAAAACTCCCATCAGTGACAAAAAGCCAGATACTAAAAACCCACAAAACGACAAACAACCAAATGAACCAAGCACTGGTAATACTGATAAACCAATTACCACAACTGACAGAACTGAAACGAACGACAAATACCCTAAAAATGGACCAGGAACTGAAAAGAAGCCTGAACCTAAATCGGACACAACAGAAACACCAACAACTGAAATTAATAAATACAAAAAACCTAGCACTAATTCTCCCGACTCTGAACAAACACCAAATATTGAAAAGGACAACAAACCTAACACATCAACGAAAAAGCCAGAACCAGTTAATACTGGCAGCAAAAAACCAACTAAAAAAGAAGAAAAACCTACTGGAAAAGTGCCTATACCAATTATCAAAGGAGATAATAAACCAATTCGAAAACTACCTGTTATAATCAAGGGAGATAAACCAATTAGAAAAGTGCCTGTCAGACCAGATTTAATCAAGCCACCAGTAAGTCGTCCATTAGATGATGAACCAAGTTTTGAAGAATGTGATAGCATGGAAGATTGGGAAGACGAGGAAAACGATAAAAGTAATGAAAAAGAAAGCACTACTGATAAAACGAAGAAACCAGTTACTGAAAATGAGGACAATGAAAAAGCACCAGATTCCAAAAAGGTGACTCCAAAACCAAACAGTAGTACTACAACTGAAAAGATTGATGTAACCAGGAAAACACCAACGGAATCTAGTAAAGTACCAAACACCACAGTAACACCTAAAGATAAACAACCAGACACTACAGATAAACCGAAAGATCAAAAACCAGAAACTAGTGATTCTGATAAAGACAAGAAACCGCGCACTGACAATGATAAAAATCCAAAAGTAAATGATAATAAAGACAATAAACCAAAGACCACAACTGAAAAACAAACAAATAGTCCAGCTGTAACAGATACTACACCAGCTACGGTAACTACAGAAAAATCTGCGAATACCGAAAAACCTAAACGCTTCAGAGATTGTGATTACTTCGGTGATGTTGATTGTGAAGATTATGATGACGACGATGATAATAAGGACAGTAAAACTAAAGCAAATACTACTGAGTATCCTGAAAAAGATGTTGACATTGAGATTGAAGAAGATGTAATAATTGAAGACGATGGTGTAGACTCATCTGAAAATAATGATGACACTGAGGAATCGGACGAAACTGTCAGTGATGAAGATGTTAGCACTGAAGACTTAGATGAAGATATACAAGAAGACAGCAAAAAACCAAATCAAGAAGAAAAACCAGATGCTAAAAATACTACCAAAAATAAACCTGATGACAAATCTACTGCAACTACTGTTAAGCCAGACACTGTAACTACTGAAATGAATAAAAAACCCAATGAAAATTCTTCTGAAAATAAAGATAAGCCCGATAAAAACCAGAAACCTATAAAAAACACTAAGCAACCCATTGGCAGTAACGATAAACCATCTGATAACGGCAAGAAACCAATTGAAGATAAACCTAATGAAAATGGTGAAAAACCAACAAACAATACTGATCAAACAATTGAAAATAAGAAGCCTACTAAGGATGACAAGAAACCATCTGAAAATAAAGATAAACCAAATGACAGCAATAAAACACCATCTGACAATACGAAGAAACCAAATGGAAATGAGAAACCTTCTGAAGATGATAAGAAACCATCGGAAAATAATGGCAATTCAAATGACAGTACTACTAAACCAACTGGTAATAAAAGTTCAGAAAAGAAACCGGGTGAAGGCAACCAGAAACCGTCTGAAAATAATAACAAACCTACTGACGATAGTGACAAACCAAATGTTAATATCACTGAAAAACCATCTGCACAAATACCAGATGATGAGAGTGTTGAAGAACAAAACGCACCAGATGATGGCATTGATTCTGAAGATATTGTAGAAATCGAAGAATTGTTTGAAGATGATGAATTCGAAGCTGACTCTGAAAGTGTAGAAACAACTACTGAAAAGAAACCAGTCAATGATGAGCACACTGACAAACCGAAACCTAAAATCGACGATTGTGACTATTTCGGTGATGTAGACTGTGAAGATTATAATGACGACGACAGTGAAAATTTGACTTATAAAAAAACTGAACAAGACGATATAACCAAACCAAATGACACTAAGAAGAAACCTGAACCCAACAACAGTGACAACAATGCCAATAAACCAGTCATTCAGCAACCAGGATCGAAGAAACCTGGCGACAATAAAAAGCCAGATGCTAGTGATGATGGAAAAGATGATATTGAACTAAATGAAAAACCAAGCATACAGCCAGATGATGGTTCTGATGATAATATACCAGATGCCAAAAAGCCAAAGGACAATAATGATGCTGAAAAACCGAAGTCTGATAAGAAACCAGACCCAAAAGTTGTTGATAATAAAGATACTACTGAAAAATCAAAAACAGATACTGATAAGACTAATGACAAAACTACAGGCGTTAAAACACCAACAAAAAACAAAGAACCTGACACCAGAAATGTCAACAAGAAGCCAAAAACGGATACTGATGAAAGTAACGATGAAAAACCAGAAGCCAAAGATGCAAAAGGTTCTGACCAACCAGATGCCAAACCAAATACAGATATTGACAAAAATCCAAAATCCAAAAGCATCGATCAATATGGAAAGGACACCACTGAAAAGCCAGAAAAGGCGACTGACAAGCAACCAGCTAGTGAAAATACTGACCAGAAACCAGATACAAAAACTATTGATAAGGATGGAAATAAAGGCAAGACGCCAAACACAGAAGATTCTGGTAGAGACAAAAAGCCAGAGAATAAAGAGAAGACACCAGTGGAACAGAATCCTGATGAAGATATTGATGTTGCAAAAAAACCAGAAACGAAAACCACTGATGATAATAAGAACAATGAACCCGAACCTGAAAAAAATGATAAAACGCCAAATTCTCAAACATCAAACAATCAAAACAGTAACAAAATACCTGACACTCAGCCCAAAAACGGTGATAAAAAGCCGGTTTCTGATAATACACCAAAAGATAAACCTATCGAAGCAAATACTGACAAAAAACCTGACAGTGAGAATACTCATAAAAATCCAGACAGTAATGACACTGACAACAAAACTCCCGACACTAAACCTAAGACTAATGAGAAAACACCAGATTCTAAACCTACTGACAATGACAGGAAACCAGACAAAGATAATAAAGATACTAACAAAAAGCCAATTGATAAACCTACTAACAATAACGAAAAACTCGATTCTAAAGACACTGTTAAACCAGACAACAAACCAACTGAAACTGACAAAAACCCAGCGACTAAAAACCCAGAATCTAAAACCACTGACCAAAATACTGACAAAAAACCATCAGACAAACCTACTACTAACAATGACAAACCAGCCACTAAAACTACAACTCCTGACCAACCCAAAGACACGAAGACCCCTGACAATGATAAGGATAAAAAACCTAAAGACGCTAAGACAATTGATGATGAAAAACCATCTACTGATAGTGATAAACCCATAATTGGTGACAAAGACAATGCCGACAAAGTTAAAGCTGGAAAAGACAAAGATACTAAAGATCAAACTCAAGACACAGACCTAACAATCCAACGCAAAGTAGTTAACAGCATGGATGAAGTTTTAAAATACAAGAACCATGAAGGCTTCACATTCAAAGCTTGCGATGAAGTTGAGAACAGCGATGAATCTTCATCTAAAAATAAAAATAAACAAATAAAACTAACTAAATTCATAAGAACTAAAAAGCATGTGACTAAAAAACCTAATGCTGATGACAAAGACGTTACCGAAAGACCAGAAACAGACAAAAGACCGACTAAAAGACCTATATATAGAAGTAAGTTAGCAAAAATAATTATAAGAATACTTACAAAATCAAAAAAAGGTAAAACACCAATCAATAATGACAATAATGTTACAGGGAATGGCCCGAAAGACACCAAACTTAGTCCAAATTCTGATAAAACCCAACAAATATGGCTCACAGAAGGAAACAGAATAATATTAAGAAGAAGCGTTGAAGATATACAAGAAAAAGAATTAAGATGTTTCGAGGAACTCTTCCGTTCTGATGGAACTGTACCTTTAGATGAAGAAGTAATAGCTAACACTGATGATTCTGATGTTATAGAAGAAGAAAGTGATGATGAAGATTCTGTAGATAGAGCGCCTTTAGAAGACATTCCTGATAATGATGATTCAGACGGCATCGTACCGTTGGAAGAAGATTTAACTAACAATGAATCTTCGAACAATGATGAAGGAAGCGATGATAGTGAATCTAATTCAGAAGGTAATGAAGAAGAGTCTTCTGATGCTGAACTAACAGAAGCTTCTGGTCTAACTCCTGTTCAACAGAGGATTGCGAGTAGAAGAATAATGCGGTTTAGAAAATCCTAAGCGTAAATCGTAAATATTTGTATCATAATTTTTTTAAGGCTTACTGTTTGCAACTGTTATAACGCTGTAACTCGACTATCGTATCTAGGTATTGTTTTACTTGCTCGGCATTTTTCGTAGATGTTAATGCAAGTGCGACTCAGGCAAGGGGTCTCGGGTTCGATTCCCGGGTCGTGCAAAGTATTATTGAGTTTTTTTAAATCTCTGTAGTAGCACGGAGCCTGGAATTGTGTCCGGTATATGGCAATAGGATCACCCCCTATTACATGGGACTCATAACATAAATAGTGAAAAGTGGGTGTTACATGGTACAGTTAAGTGCCGTAATATGCACCTCTGCCTATCCCTTCGAGGATAAAAGGCGTGATGTTATAATTATAATAATATAATTATTTATGATTATGGGCCCCGGCTTGGCTTGAAACTAGTTGAGTTACCTTCATAAATCGTTACATGAGTAGACGGTACTACATAATGATTCGTTTTTATATTTTTTGTCAATTCAATGCATTATGATTATGTATGTGTAATACCTATGTATGCTGAATAACTATTTTTTATATGGTTCTGATTTTTGGTGCAATTAAATGTAATTATTTATATAATGTCATCGTTTTATTCTTTAAAGAGACTAGCTTCCAGCATGCGACTTCACTCTTTTCTAATTCAGTGATACGTACTATATTTATATCATAAATCGTTATTTTTTTATTAAATGACAATGACCTTTGTATGGAGCGTGGTGCCTTTTAATTTTTTCGCGGCAGTTGATCAAATGTGGATAAACTGATGCAGAATAATAAAAAAACAAAAGAATGTATGGGGTCTTATATCAAAAACACAGTCCGAACCGAGTTAAGTCAGTTCAAAGATGTGAAAATAGTGCTACATTATTCCTGTTATTTTGTTGATGGTGACCGTACACAACACATATTTCTTCATTTACTTGTCAGAAATATTTTGTAATTAATGTTTATAAACGATTTCAAGGAATATAGTAAAGCTTGTTGTGGGCTTATTTTTTTTTTTTTGTTATAACGCCAAGGAATCAGAACAAAGTGAACCATTAACTGGCCACTGCTGAAATAAGAAAAAAACATTTCGCTTGATTGGCTAGCGTATTCACTTTATATGTATACGGTTTAAGGCCTATTTATTTTCATGATCAATTTCCTCTAAGTCGAAAACCCGCAAAATACTTTACTGAGCCTTATCATAAAACGCTATGTTCGTCAACTGAGGCGTCGGTAGCGGATACACGAAAAAAACATTTTTCTGTCTACTTTTCCCGACTTACTTTCGATTAGTAACTAATCTAACTACAGTTAATTCTTATAATACAGTTAATAATCTATATCTAGCATAAGATTCTGTACAAAGATATCGTCATTCAGTCACCAAGTAATGGATTATATTTCGACTGATCACATTATATGAAAAAATTATGCGCTCATCTGACGTATAGTCCATCACTTTACAAAGTCGACGGTTTCCTTTCTTGAAAATATTATGCTAACTATAAAGTAGATGAGTCTACCACCAGGAGTCAAAGGCAAAAAAAAACTTTAAGATTTTTGGACGGCTGCCACTACTTAACCCACCACTGGTACCTCAGCTGACGCTCATGGAGCTTCATGACACAACTCCTAGAAGCATCCCACAAATTATCGACTGAGAGAAAATAGCAAATAAAAATTAGTGCCTGGCAATATGGATATATTGTGGTGTAATATGGTGTTCCTATGCTCGGCGTACAGTGGCGCGCAATTTGAAGTTAGGAATTGTGACAAAAATATGAATAATTTGAATAAAAAAACCAAAGTAAAATGTTTGACTTCAGCTCTTTTCGACGCTCATAACTCAGTCCAGACTGAGATTTTCATATATGAGCCCATACACAATTTCGTTTGTAATGTCATTCTAGATAATATTTTCCATAAATCATCGACTGCCGCCAGAAAAAAGAAAGGCACCAATTTTAGTCAATGCCCTTTAATAGAAATGAGTTCCAATTTCAACTTCTCTATACCTCTATAAATAAATACAAAAATGCTACAAATAGTAGATGTTTTCCTCTTAAAAATTAAAAATAAAAAGCTACATAAAATATTCTGTGGCCCATGAGGGGATCGAACCCGCGACCTTCGCGTTATTAGCACGACGCTCTAACCAACTGAGCTAATGGGCCGATGGTATCAATTGCCAAAATACATATCCAGTGATCACAATGTACGGTCTCCGGCCATCGTAAGCGCGGGCTTGCGGACGGCGAGCATGGGTGACTCGCCGTACGCTCTGTTTGCAGCCTTAGTAACGGTAAAATGGGGTGAATAGGGTTTGAGCGGCGAAAAGGGACAGAAGAGAGGTGAATCGATACTATGAAAAATTTCCTTATATCTATTCACCCCTCTTCTGTCCCTATTCACCTCTCGATCCCTATTCACCCCATTTTACGGTATGAGTTTGTTTTACGTTAAAAGTAATCGAAACGAGACTGCATTCAGCGCTCTGATTGGTTAGTTAATTGGAGTCGGCCAATCACAGCGCCGAACACCTACTTGTCTCGTTTCGATTTCTTTAAACGTGAAGTAAACTTGTACTAAGGCCTCAGAACCAGACCCGAGCGTACGGCGCGTCGCGTTTCGCGTGCGTCCATCAGACCACGGAGGGGGCCTAATAGGGCTGATACCGATACGGAGCCGCGGAGAACCTAACGGGTAACCGGGGCTCCGGCTCGAAGTGCAGGAGAAGGAATGGGGTGGTTTTTAGACAGTAACTGTAAGAGTCTGACACTCCCTTTCGCCTCACATACGCGGGAGAAGTCATTCGATGATTTTCCCCCCTTAAAAAAAACCTATGAAATTGCCATATGTATTAAAAAAATGGAATAATTTTTTTTCAAGTATTTTTTATCTGTATTAATTGAACAAATCGTCCATGCAATCAATGCATCTTGTCTGTAGGCGCCAGGTCTGGTGAGTAGGGCCCGTGACGGATAGCTTCCAAGCCCAGTTCATGCAACTTGAAGACCGTCTGCGGTGCGTGGTGCAGTCTGAGGTCGCGCGTTGTCGTGCGAATTTTTAACGTATCCGCGATGACGAAATAGATTGAAATGCAATGCAAACGTAACACTAATCAATAAACAAATGACTATTTTTGGAAAAAGATCCACTTTTTTATAATATAACTAGAAGCCCGTCCCGGCTTCGCACGGGGTAGACAATTATTTATTTTTGGAAATTTGGATTGTTGTAGTGACATAACTACAACAGTTGGACAAATGCTACCGCGGAGTTTTTTTGTAGACATTATAATGTTATTCAATATTGTTGTAAGTACATTATTTTGTTCTATCGCTAATAGTTTCGGCAGCGCATTCGACGAAAGACATTTTAAGACTCATTTTTCTACACCTTCGGTTACATTGTTCAAATTTTACCAAGGATCCCTATTTTTTTTCAAAATGAAATGTAGCCTATGTCAAATTGGAAGAATTTAGCATTCTATTGGTGAAAGATTTTTTTAAATCGGCCCAGTACTTTTTGAGCCTATTCATTACAAACATACAAAAATAGGTACAAATCTTTCCTCTTTATAATATTAGTATAGAAAATAAATTTGAAATTAGAATTCTTAGCCAAACAAAAATTATTTTGATTTGAAATGGCCAGTACCTACTGCAGAACGCAGCGAAGCCATTTTGAATGTTTATTTTTTTAACGTTGCCCCCACACTAGGATTTTCTCCTGTGTTATGGGTGCGTTTACAAACATACAAGTTCATATACACATCACACGTAGACCCGGAACAACAATTTGTAGATCACAGAAAGATTTTCTCTGCACGGGAATCGAACCCGCTACACGTTGCAGCCGGATGACGCGCAATTTGTGTGACGCGGGTGTGTGAAATTTTAGAAATCGTCGGGCTTTCGGCGCCTCTTGAGGGTCCCGAGTGCCCTCATCCTCATGGAAAAGATAGTACAGTCCGGGATTACTGGTCTGATTTTAAAAAATCTTATTGTGTCGGATATTCCATAATCCGTTTATCGAGGAAAGCTATAGGCCCTATTTATAGCCTACAGTATTGAGTATCTAAACATAATATTTTCTTGTATACATATATTTTTTTTTTAGTGGGGAAAATCATCGAATAACTGCTCCCACCTGGGTGAGACGGGAGGGAGTGACTGACTCAGACTCTTACTGACTAAAAACCACCCCGTTCCTTCTCCTGCACGTCGAGCCAGAGCCCCGGTAACCCGTTAGGTTCTCCACGACAAATATAGGTATATAATAAAATCGTAGGACAATGAAAACTACATCTAATTTTTTTTTAAAGTATGCCTTGGTCGTGATCTACAGTCGACACCGAAACCAACAATATGGTTTTTAGAATTTTTGTCTGAGTATGTAAATATGTCCGGGATGAACTCAAAAAGTGCTGCATGGATTTACTTTAAATTTTGCATGAATATTACTAACAGGTCGGGTCAACATATAGACTACATATTATCACGCTATCACCTACGGGGGAGGAGCTGTGAATCACTATTCCACGCGGACAAAGTATAAACGGCTTTAAAACTTTACACTTGATCGTAAATTCGTAACAGACCGAATGAAACTGCGCGGAAGTCGCAATCACTGCGTGGAAATGATTGAATTTCGATATATGTATTCGCATTTAATAAGATTCAATTTTTGCCCAGTTGCTGAATAATCCGAGACTGCACTATAACACAAAAAACACGTTTCACAAATTGTAAAAAAAATGGTGTCATATGATAACTTCCTTTACTTTTTTTATCTTTAAAATAGCTTTAAACCGTAATTATGCGCTTGTTACATGGATAAGTTGCAGTTAATTTGTCTATGGTAGTAAAAAATGGCGCGCGCGGGAACTTTGACATTTAGGAAGTTTTGAAATTAATACTTTAATAAGTTGGTGCTACACTGGGCACCCTTCCTCACGACTGCGATGAGGATAATTTTTTCTACGACGTAAGTTATAGTTTTTTTTTGTTTTCTTTCCTTTTTATTTATTTTCTGTTCCTTTATATTTCATTTATATTTAACCTCGTAGATATAGATATAAAACTTCAGTAAAATAGTTATAACGATTTCAATAACATATCCTAATTCAAAATCTGTGAATTAAAATGGATTACTGTGAGAAACATACATCTGATGTCAAAAATCTATTTAAGGCAAGAT